GCTCTACTTGCCCTGCCGCGGCCGCCCCCGCCAGTAGCCTGCGTTGTATATCGAAACAGATCAACGGGAAGGCGGGCCCTGCACGCTCTCTGCTATGGGGAAGCCTTCTTTGGCTGACCCCCCCCCCCCCCCCCCTCTGATTTCCCATCCATCTTCCCTATCAGAAGGTGGGCATAGGGAACAGAAGAACCAGCCAGTAGGGTGCGTTTGGGTTTGGGGGGGAGAGTTCGAAGAGACTAGGGGGCATGAGACTGATTTGCTGACAAACAGGCGAATTCCTCTCCCCGTCCCACGAATCAGGCGTCCATGATACGTTTCGGCGTCTTTTGGTCAACAGAGAACACAAGACCACGCGACGATCACGCGCGACATAGCAATTTCAATAAAAGTCAGATTTTCCGTTTCTATTTTCTACAATATACACTTGCATAATAAATTTAACTTAAAACTGACAACTTTATCTGTGTTAGATCAGTAACACAAGGATTCATATCGATGTGAAGTGCCTCCATTAGCCCCATCAAGGAAGGTTTTTTAACCCGTAATCACTGATTTTGCCTCTTTCGGCGGTAGCATCCAAAAATGCTAGGTACATAATAATGCAATGCGGAGGGGTGGCTTGTCGGATATAGTGTAATAAGTAAGCCTAACATACAAATTAATTTTTTAATTATTTGTGACTTACAGATTGATTAGCCTAAACAAATTTGTGTATGAGACTAAAAATAGACTAAAATTAGTCGTGGTATAGCAATGTATAACCAGCTGATCCAACTTATCATTATGACTGTTATGCTTCGGCATGTTGTTATTATTACTATTATAGTGAATGATGTAGTTTGGAGCGTGTAGCTTTAAAGTGAACAGTAGGGACTATATATATGTAAGTTACTTGTTATATGTAAGTACCTTGAAAATTGTCGTAGAATGATTCAGTCAAAACTAAGCCTGAAACTAGACTTCTCTCTATCTTGTTTTTTATAGTTTGTTTTGAATCACCGCTAGATAATCCTAATTTATACGAAGAAAGGTTCGTTTTACAAGATTCTTTACTCAAGTATTGTATGCGACCAAATACATATTTCAACTAAAACTAAAAAAGACATATTCACAAACTGTGAAATAATGCGAACAGAAAAAAAAATCCAACAATACAAATTCACTTTTACTAATACTGAATTCAGAAGGTCGTCGCAAACAATTATAAACCAGTTGCTAGAATTTCTTCACGCATATATTGTAGCGCGAAAAATGCACAATATATGATGGAATCATTCAACTTAAGTTAAAAAAAAAAGTAAAAGGCTGTAGCTAGGTTGTTCCCCGTCCGCCGATAGCACAGTTAACATTATTGACTCAATATTTCAACCTGGTGCATGTAGCAGCGGGATCGCGTGCCATACTACCCGAAGCTGCTGCTGAGGGCGTTAGCTAAAAGTACAAGCGAATACTCAGAACTGCCGTTAAAACAAGATAACGTCAAAAAGAAAAAATATTTTAGAATATAGGATATAAATAGAGCTTTTGGTTGTCGTGGGAAAATGGCGGGAAATCTCAGGCACAGAATACCTGCCGACGCCGGCAGAGGCCTGGGTATGTCGCGATCTAGTGATTGTAGGGTACCCCACCTTAAATAATTTTGACCAACCGATTTTCCCAGAGAAGGTTTAATTGTGTGAACAGTTTTTAAGAGGCTATGGGAATGGATATGAAACATTTGAAAGGTTTATATAAAGATAATGAACTCTGCTTGGCAAGCTGGATGTGAGAGTCACATTTAGCATCTTCTTAGCAAATACTTGACGGAAGACAAAGTTTTTCTTTTATTGAATTTTATTGTCGCCACACGACTAACGGTTTAGCCTTACGTTAATCTCGCTGATTCAGGACCACAAGCCAGAAGGTACCGGTTTTCGATAATGGGTATAATACCTTGAGTAAAGAACTGCGACCGTCAGTTTGAAAAGAATACCCTCAATTATCACCTCCGGCTGTCAAATAACGCAACACAGAACTCAGAGACTATGGCTGAATCAGTACCACGTAGAGCGGAATCAGGGAGCATGTCGCGAATGTGAGCCTAGCGACAACCGCGGTGTCCGTAAAGGGCCGCCAACTATAACATGTAACAGTTACACTATAAGCACGGTAGAGAACTGAAGAATGTCCTGAAAGGCGGCACCATTTACCAAAATCAAAAGAGATTGTATCTGGTAACTTGTGATCACCCTAAGGTTTAATGTTCTCTCTTTTCAAAAAAAAATATTAAAGGGAAAACGTTCGACGATTTGCTTCTCGAGAGAAGCCTTCCTGCTCCAATCGAGTCGCGGATGCATACGCTAGCATTGTGTTTGTGAGCTAACGGTACGCAGCAACGAACCTAGACGACATCACTTGCTTGTGAATTCGCCAAGTCCACCTCCTCCAATAAAACGAAGCTTGACTACCTCCAAGATCGGTATTTAAGTTGCGGAAACCCGCAAACTCACTCCAACTGCATTGGTGGAGGGGAGCTTCTTTGTTATTGTAAAATAGTATAAGGAATTCATTTACAGGTGCCCGTCCGGGTCAACGAAGCCCATTTCCCAACCGACCAGGAGAGCAGTGGTCAATATCAGCTGATTTATGTAATGAAGTAGTTAAGAGCGTGCTAAAGCAATTTTAAAGACACGAAGGATGCGAGGCAAGTCGCGGAATAATAACATCCAATGAATAAGCGTAACATAAATATAGTGGAGACATATAGTGTTATTTAATAATATCATTGTTCTTTGGAATAAAAATGAACGTGATTATATAAGGTAGGATTATATAAGTGGCTAGCAGGCTGATAACGAAGTTAACACCGATCTGGAAGCCCTACTTTGTTTACTATAGCTCTTGAAAGAGACTCGCAATACCGGAATGGTGCAAAAATCAGGGCCGAAATAATTATAATAATTATTATAGTTTTTTTTTACTCTGATTCTTTGTTTCCTTAAACATATGCTGCACTTTGTTTGTTTGTTGCAAGATTCGCACGATTGGCCCAAACAGGACAGAATTTACGCCTAAGACGAAACACATGGACAAGTATGTCTCGGGGCCCCCATCCTATGATTTGTCTCCAAACGGGCTTCAGTGAACTAACTAACACGTATCATCTGTGTACCATATTTAAACGAAATAAATAACTTACCCTTAATAGTTAAGCTTCTGTTTTTTTTAACTATTTAGATGGTTTCCATAAGAAGTTGTTCGTAATTTCATATTTTTATATATTTACTTATAGCTTAATTGCCAGGACATGAAACTATCGTAAAGTTTTTTTATTATTTATTTCAATTTTTTAGGAATCTGAATCGACAACCAATTATATAAGTATAAGTGTTTGCTTAAAGTGGTAAGTAATTAAATACTTAAGAGATAAGCAAGTAGTTGATCTAATTAAGGATGCGACACCGAAATAATACAGAAGGAAGTTATCATTAATATAATTCTTTCTTATAAAATGCAAATGTTTGTTTTTTTGCATCTGTAGCATGTAGTCTGTTTAATCGACTTAGTAACGAATTTAGTATGTAAGTCCTATAACATTTTGTCTATGATTGAACTACATTAACTTTTAAAAAAGTGCAGAAAGTTAAAAAATGAGGATTACAGTGATAAAGAACACGATCGTTTTATAGTCGTTAATAATAATCGTAGTATTTATTATCAAAATCACCTTCCAGATTCGGTCAGATTCAGTGTAGTAAAGGTTATTAAAATAATAGTGTACACTTTTTATCGGTATTCTAATTCAAATTGTTTCGAATTCGCTCGGCTTGTGCTAAACCGTAAATTTGCAAACCACAAAATTACTCTCGTTTTTGTACAATACCTTATCATGTTTTTATGTATGGTACACATTTACACTGTTTCTCCACTATACACACAATAGAATATATTACTTGACGTACGAAATAACCGCAACGAATATAACGGTAGCACACATTTAATTCCGGGTATGATTGACGGCAGTCGTCAAATCTATTAATAAAAGGCAATTTCTCATTATTTTGAGTTTTGTTTTTCTTTTGTTCCTGCTGTGCATTTATTGCGATTCAGAGCATCCTTTATTTATACACCTGACCAATTTAAGTTAGACACGTTTCCTTACTCTCCTTGAGGTTGCTCTCTTTTTACGTCAATAGAATTAGTTTGGGTTTTGCAGTACAGAGTGGCTTATTCGCAAAATACATCAAAAGGCGAGTCGGCTTTATTGGTGCCCAGTTCAGTGTTCAGTACTGCAAGACACGCTATCGCAGAAAGTGGAAAGAAGAACAAAGTAACAGACCCTAGTTACGCTAAACAAAAGTCGAAAGAGTTAGGAAGAAATGAAGGATGCTCTGTTAGGACAACCATAAGCTTATATTTAACGCAGGATTTGTTTAGATTGCAACTAAATTTTTCTCAACCAGTAGCTTTTTTTGTAACCACTGATCTGTGCCCCACAGAACCGTAGAACTTCTTTTAGGCCTTCTCCCACCCCCATTCTTGTCTTTTGAAACTAGTCTAATAATAGTATAATTCAGTTGATACTTTTTTTGTTAAAAGATATTTTTTACAACTATCCCTGCCCAGACAAATGAACATGATAAACCTTTAAAGAAAAATGGCGATGAATTGGTATTTTTTGCATTGCACGTTGCCTATTCTTTCCATTGATGGTTGCACTTCATATTGCAGCATTTGTAGAACGTTGTCATTGGCTCATCAGCACTGCGCGTTTGCATTTGACGGAAGAAGGCCCGCGGATGTTCACACCTGGGACAGGCCTCTTCCGTTGAATCAACATTAGCCCACGCCGCAGTCGACCCGAGAATGTCATCGATAGGTTTAAGTCGGGGGAAAGTTTGCTTGGAAATTTTTTGTCGAATATGATGAACGTATGGACACGTAGAACACATAAATTTGTAAGACGTCGAACCTTCTTCAGCCGACAACATATTCGCGCAACGGGGACAGAAGAGCAACATGACGGCGTACGCAGTAGGCGTTCGATGAAAAGTCTTACTAATACTTCAGCCACAAGACTTCACAAGACAGGACAATCTGTGTTAGTCTTTACAAATTAAGCTAGATATCGTCGTTCTCAAGGTAGCCTTATTCTCTAACATCGGAAATATGTATCTTCAAGAGTCGATTAAGGCAACAATGCATCTCTGTCCCTCCCTCGTTCTTTCTTCCATATGAAGCTGAATCTGAGGTTCAATTGTTTTCCTTGAAAGTCAGTCACGTCCTGTCTTGGCAGTCTCGTTTCCCATAAAGCGGTATCTGTAAAGCCCTATTGTTAGGAACTGCACCACAGGTCACAAACTAAAATTCAAATACTGAAAACAAACACTGCAAAAAATTGATTGCATACTGGTGCTGTTATATTCTGATGAGGACTACCTGAAGCTAGCCAACTTTGTGATAGATACGCTATTCTTCAAATTAAATATTCAGCGCCATTGATAAACGCTATTGCCATCGTACAGCGTAAAACTGACCCTGCTCCCTACAAGCACGTAGTTATAGCCATTCATGAATTAAAGATTAATAATTAATGTGTGTCTTGTTTAAAAACGCCCTGGCAACAATATGTTATCACACACACTTTAGCATGACAGCAGATGGGATTTTTTAAACCTTCGTAAGCCACCTGTACAGCCGTGTGCTACTGTACACGCAAACCGTTAGATTGTTTCCTATATAAATTTTTTCAAGAAGAATAGATTGTATTCTATCTAGTTGTAGTAGATATTCGCGCCTACATGAATGCCCAACAAAACTTTGTTCTCCTAATAAAAGGAGCAGGGGGAAGCTATTGGGGGGGGGGGGGGGGTAAGATCAGCAGCAACACTTATCAATCCCTCAACAGTGTTTAGCTCCAATTGTAGAAGTATGTTTTTTGCCACTCAGGAATGTAGTCGATGATTGGATTGAGGACGAGCCTAATGAATGGCAATGAGTCCGCTAAAGTCCTCAGAGTAGTCATCAGATGAGATTTTGTATACTGATCATAGAAGGGTGAGCGCAAAAGGTATAAGAGTAGCACCATTGTGCGACGAGACATCTCCAGTTGTTCGAGGTGTTGAAGGTTAGGTGCACGCAGTAGCTGTATGCTGCTGACGTCCATACTTAGAGCAATTGCCCAAGGGGCCCAAGACTTCAATCCAAACGACCTTATGGCGAAGAGATGAACCAAAGGTCGCATGATGTGCAGCACTTCACCAACAATTTGCGAACCATTCAGGTCGGATGGCACAAATGAATATTTCTGTTCCATACGCGACATTGGATCTTCCTTTTGTGTTTCACACCATCGTCGTTGGTTGATAGGTGGCGTGTTCTCCAAGCTGCGAACTTCACGGCCTGACTTAAGAATGAAACTGGACTGAGCGCGCCTTTCAAGTCGTTGCTGACGCAGTTTGTCTGCGTATTGCAAATCAGCTTTCCGGTTTAAAGGCGGTACCGCTTGCGACCGATTCATACCTTGTTTAAAACCGAAAAGTAGAACCAACTTAAGAACAGTCTTAATAAGCTGAATCAACCCTATTATTATCCATTTAGTAGGTTCGCCGCTCAGGGTACGTGCCGAAGTTTCGAAGAATACCTCTGAGTATTCGAACACCTGTAGCATTGCCCGAATCGTAGTCACGATTTGTGATGAGCTCACAGGTAATGCATAAGCACGTCTTAGAATAATGTCATTTGCCAGCATCAGGAGATTGGAGCCAGTTGAAAGAAACTCTGCTACGACATTTGAATATTGAAAGCGGTTTGTAATAAGAAAAGAAGCCCATTTAAGAGCGGACTCAATTTCCTGCATGAAGTTTGGATTGGCACAAACATATTCCACATACGAATTGGCCACACACTGTGGTCTTGATATTTTCATGATGCTGAAACTATTGTCTGACTGCAAAACTCGGACGGGCAGAAGACTTCGTAATGAGCTAAGTACTTTACGTGGCACTTGTGATTACACGCAGGAAGATCGGGTTAGTTTCCTCAACACTATTGCGCCCCTGGAGCGTACGTCTGGCAACGGTCTTCAGTTAATGCATACTACGAACACCAAGTCAATACGGTCAAGTGCAATGATAATTCAGTCTAGATTTGCCCATGCAGGCTAAGGCTCGGATATCCTTTTTTTGAGCCAGCAAACTTACATGTCAAATTTGCTATCACAGAAAATCTCGCCGCCAGCTAAAGGAAACTCAGGTGGTATTTACAGCAACATGGTAAACAGGTCCACGAGTTCCTGCAAAGGCCCGCTAAAATCGGAACAGCAGTATAAAGATTTTATACATTCGATGTAGCTCTCATCGAGTCAAACTGTTATCCCTGTTTTTATAATGGTAAGCTCCTCCTTGCTAACAAGAATTATTTATGTATTACAATGAAAAGAACTATTTCCCGGACAACTTCTGAAATTATACTGAATTAAAGTTTGGACTAATTCAAAACATTTGCTGCCCGCTAATTTAGCATGTCTGTGTCGTCTGCTTATTTAGTTTGGTAATCAAGAGAAGGACCTCGGAATAGATTCAGGTAAGTGGAGAAAGCCTTACAAAAGTAATGCTTTTTGGCCGACTTAGGACATAAATTAAAGAAATCAACCATTTTTTTTATCTAGTTTATGTAGAATATGGTGGTTCTTAGATTTGAAAGTATTGTCTCGCGCGGATTTCATTTATAGGGTCGCTACGGAGATAACACTACTAGATAGTCTCATGCGGCAGCATCGAAAATATCTGTCGTCATTATTTGGGTTATCGTACTTGATACTTGATAGAGACAGTGCTGATAGATAGAGACGTTACTTTATTGGTAGAGTAAATCTTCAGAATTTTTTACAAGAGGCAACCAATTAAACCTGTCAAAAACAAACAGTTTGACACCCAAAGTGACTGTGACACTTAATTTGCGGTCAACATTCACAATAACCACTCAATAAACAGATACAAATTTATGAAGAAAGCTCCATATAATAGTACCAATCGACAACTAAGGTCCGATTTCTATTCCACCGAAGCATTAATTGCAACGACACATCTATAAATCGGTTGTTCAATAATAATTGCAGTAATACAATTTGTTCAAATGAAGCCACCATTGTAGTATCAAATATAAGCTTAGAGTTAAACAAGGTTTGTTTCTAAGACTGCATTTATTATCCACAGACACCAGTAGTGAGGTATAATACGGTACTTCTATCACTTGTTTCTACTAAAAAGAACAATTCTTAGTTCTGGTTTCAATCACTTGACGTGGCATCGAGCATTGCTACTGCTAAAAGCGACACAACAGTCGACAGTCCAAAGTGCGCTTTCATGTTTCCCGCGCAATTTCTTGAAATGCCTCGAGCTACTGTTATCGAACCTACACTAGTCTTATTGTATGTATTACTTCTGCAGGCCATCGTCTGTCCATCTCTGCATAAGAAATAGCACAAAATGCACGCATTTTGCCGTATCGGGTCAGCGCATCGTCAACTTGCAAGTCCTGCGGCAAGGAGTGTATCCACGCTTATCCTTGCTGAACATCAGGCTGGCAAATTGGCTCCAGCTACACTCAATGCTATCGCTGCTTCTCGGAAGATCGGCGGAGACGTTACCGTTCTAGTTGCCGGAAAGGTAACAGCTTAGATATACGTTTTTATCTTCAATTTATTTATAATTGTGTGGGCGCGCACGAGCTTATATGTCCAATTTTGATATATTTTATACGTTTAGAACAACATGCCGATGTTGCCAGCTGGCACTTAAACAGCTAACAATCTAGCTGAAGAAATCAGCGATCATTGGTGGATCACGCGATACAGGGCAATAGCGTAAAAAGATAGCTGGCGAGGTGGAAAACATTGAGCTCTGCAGTTTTTACCATAAAAACAAAGTCTTGAACACTATGAAGATAGTAATTACGTAAGGATATGTAGGCCTTATTATTAGCGACGTTATTATAAAATTAACTAATGGTTGCTGGAAACGGCGTGAAATGACACAGTTTTGCGCCTTTTATAGCCGCTCTTCCTACTAATTGGGAGCTCACCAATGGGCGTTTCAAAAAAATGTCAGGTCGAATCTTTCATTTATTTAAACCAATAAGGCATGTTGATCTAATTACAACAGAATCAGACTTCTGCGTGAATAGTACTAGAATTAATAACTTAATATAGGATATCGGGCTTACAAAGTAGAAACGTGTCGTCATGGTTGCTGGATATACGTTTATGTTACGTTATGGCACGTTATGACAACTGGTGTGGCCCCCTACTTGATAATTTGTTTTACGATAAAATACCTAAAGCTTTCTTCTGAGTGCGATGACCCTATTTTTTATCATTTCATGATTCGGTTTACATAGAAAAGGTGGCTATATTTTCAAAAACCTATATATATATATATATATATATATAGGCGTCTACATAAGGTTTTCTGCATACAAGCACTTGAAACGCTGAATCTTTGAGCATTTAAGTGCAGCGACAGCCAAAACCAAAATAATATAAGAACTGAAACTCGAATATAACTAGACGTTTCAATTTTTTTTTGTCATATAAAACGCCTAGAAAATCGTCATAACAGTCTAAAAATGAGAATTAAATCAATAAGCTCCTATTCAACAAAAACGCTGTGCTTGCTAAGTCTGCATTTCGCGGGTTTATTTTCAAACCAGGTCCACATGCTTACGAATATGAAGTAAGAACCTGTGTCTTTCCATTTATTGCAGGATGTCTCTGGCGTAGCTACTGAAGTAGGTAAAGCTGAGGGTGTTAAAAAACTCTTAGTGGCTGACGATGCATCACTTGAAGGCCTGTTGCCAGAGCGCGTGGCGCCTGTCATCCTAGCGTCTCAAAAGCAATTTAATTTTACACACATAATAGGTCCTTCGACAGCGTTCGCTAAAAACGTGCTGCCGCGCGTTGCAGCAAAGCTGGACGTGTCGCCCATCTCGGATGTTCTGGATATTAAATCAGAGGACACCTTTGTACGGCCTATCTATGCCGGTAATGCGATTCAGACGCTACAGGCGGCTGATTCCGTGAAAATTCTCACGGTGCGAGCATCGTCATTTGATGCTGTCAGCATGGGAGGCAACAGCGTGCCCGAAGTCGCTCCTAAGGCTGAAAGTGTAAAGGAAGACATTTCAACGTATGTCAAATCCGAGATCAGCAAATCAGAGCGGCCAGAATTGTCGTCGGCTAAGAAGGTCATTTCAGGAGGCCGAGGTATGAAGTCAGGTGACAACTTCAAAATGCTCTATGATCTCGCTGATAAAATTGGAGCTGCTGTCGGAGCGTCTCGCGCTGCTGTGGATGCAGGTTTCGTTCCAAATGACCTACAGGTTGGCCAGACCGGAAAAATTGTTGCGCCTGAACTTTATGTGGCTATCGGAATTTCCGGAGCTATTCAGCATCTGGCTGGTATGTGTAATAGATAGCCTTAAGTTAATACTATTAAGCCAAATGTCTGTGTCATCTGGGGCAAGTCAATAAACTAAATAATTCAGCATATTAGATTAAATCAGTATATTAGGGTGTCAGAACCTAGTTAATTGTAGTCATCCTTATATTACTAAATTGCAGAAACGTGACTGTTTTTTTTTATAGGCATGAAAGACTCAAAAACGATTGTCGCGATTAACAAGGATCCTGAGGCTCCTATCTTCCAAGTGGCAGACATTGGACTAGTGGCGGACCTCTTTAAGGCTGTGCCTGAGATGCTAGAAAAGATCGACGGATATAAGTCAAAATAGATTCGGTTGTTTAGGCTACTTTTGGAATATGGAACTCTACAGATGTAATATTAACTAAGAAGTTATACTGGACATTTTCAAAGAGCCGTCAAGGTTAATTACCATATTTTACGACAATTTTCGGGCAGTCCGGTGTTCACTGAACGAACACGAGTACGTACCTGAGCGAATATCTCTAATTAGTCATAAGTTGAATGTCTTTCAACTGCCAGAACCTATTCAATCAACGAAACTTTGTGAATCAAACAGATGGTCGGTAGGACCATCTATTTGATTCACAAAGTAGGAAAAAGTAGGCTATTTTACATGAAAGATGGTCCTATGATTTTTATGAATAATAATAAAGCAATAATTGTAGTAATGTGGTATTTACATTTTTACGTACGCCGTTGAGTATGAGAATATTGCTGCACTTAACGGTTTGAATAGCGGCACCAAATAGAAATCTTAACATTAATTAGACACGTGTATGCACATAAAGGTGCACACAATCATACCAAACATTTTACATAACGAGACCCGGCGGAGTTATTGCCGTCGCTCAACATGCTTAGTATATCCAGGTGGTTCTAATCAGATCGGCAGAAACTACGTTGGCTTTTTTACTGACTATTCGTCCTCACTGAGCTATTACTTTCCTGGGCCCTTTGAAAACGATTTATTCAAAGCTTATTTTTGTGGGTTTTGCAAGCGTCACTGCTAAGATTCCCTTTAATTGTTTAAAAACGCCCAACTAAAAGTGGCAGCATTTCCAAATAAGCTAGATCATGACTTTTTTACTATTGCATTGTTAACCTAAACTTGAAAACATTCACTGGAAATCTAAATTCTCAATCGCTCCAAGCTACTGTCCTTTGGAAATAAGAAATACTGCATCTACATATGATAGCCCCGCTCAACAGCAGTTTCCGGTATGCTGCGCTCCCGCATGGTAGTGCTTCAGATACATGCTTTTTTTTAGGATAGTTTTTTTTCGTCAGGCCAAGCTTACGCACTCCCGTGATTGCTTAGTGGGTAAAGTAGTCACCTGCTAATATTACGACACGTGGTAGTTTTAGTTCGAATCCGAAGGTCAGCCGTCTGATGGAATGCCCAATAAAGGCTTCCGACCCAGTGAAGGTGCTGAACGTGAAACTCGAAACATTCATACCAAACGTACGCGCATTAATGAAAATTGTTAAAGCTATCTGCAAGACATGCAGTACAGCTAATCCATAAAATTTAAACCAGAAAAAATTTTTTTTAAAAAGTTTGTGTTAGTGCACCACGAAAGAGCAGAATTTTTCATTGGGTGCTTAAAGAATTATTAGTACTACCTCAAGCACATCTTTGCGATTTCTGTAGCTTTTCTTTCGTATTTTGAATGCCTTCTACAAAACGAGTCAGTTATTGGAAGCCAACTCCACTGACTTCTAAAGTTGATGTAACGTAGCAATTAATTATTAGAAAGAAAATTTATATTAGCAGAAAGGCGTGGGCCGGCGCTTTGCCAGCGCCAAGCACCTAAAATGTAGTCACATCAAACGCATTTGAAACTGTTCGAGGCAGATACGCTGACGCAATATTCTTGAAATACGTCGAAAATATTCTCTAGTTATTTTAAGATGGTGGTATGAAGGTAGTGATGATACAGGTGTTAACAATCACGATTCCTTCGATTTCTCTAAAAACTAGGTTTATATGCTTAACTTTGTTCTTTATATTTAATACTGCGCATAGCTTAAGTGTATTTGACTATGTTTGTTAGTCAAACTTTTATGGGGACCACTTGATGCCTCATTTTGATTATTCAGAAAATCGCGACATGGCATCCAGCATTGCCCCACTTTTCAGTGTGAAAACGTAAACTTAGGAAAACTTAGCATGAGGTTGTTTGAACTCATCTAATCGCGAGCGCTTGGTTGGTACCAAGATTGGCCCCCTGCATGAACTCACTTTTAAAAAATAATATCATTCTATCAGGAGAATAAAGATTCGTCCAAAAAACTAGCACACGTCACAGCTTTAGCAAATAACAAGCAAACCCCTTCCCTAAAAAAAGCAATTTCAAATATAGGTATCATATCAGACAGACACCACCAATGCTAATAATCATAGTGTGTAGATACATACAGGATGGCGCAAAAGTCATTTGATAGATATAAACATATATCAGACATGTGTATGTACTATACTAGGCTGAAACCAAATTTCATTTTCTTTCACCTAACAAAAAACGAGGTGCTTTACCCGAACCAACCTATCATGTATCGGCCGACAGATTCCACAGTCCTCTCCCAGCTCTCAAGAAATTTGTTTATCTCGAAAAATTTTTGGATTTAGTATAAAAGAACTCGATAAAGGTGTCTTAAAACCTTCATCATTGTGAATTTTGTATCCCAGTGACGTCTAAAGCCAATACCCTTGAAACTCTATATGAATTCCGTCTACTGCTTAAGGACTCAAAGAGTAGACAGAAAAATTTTAAACGGACTGAGGCGAAACAATCAAGAAAAAGTAAGAGTACTCTTGCCGAATGGCGACGTAAAAGGGACAAATGAAGAACAGATCTAAATTATTGACGTTCCAACCTAATATTTCGCATACCTGTTAACTGAAAACTCTTTATAACAGGTTGAAATTAATATCTTTGTTAATTTCTGTCGTAATTACTGTCAACTCTTGGATGATTTGATGTCTTTGGATGGCAATGAAAAACAAAAAAACATTCATATTTTGAACTAAAAAGTTTACATTTATTTTAAGAAAATACTTTCTGGTAGACAAAACTTATGGTTTCACGATTGTTTAGAAGTTGCTATAGTTAGGTCATAAGAACATACATATTTTTTTCTTTATGATTCTAATACCAGAAAGTTCGGTGTGGTACACGGTCATCCTGGATGCCATGCTGTTCCATGATGTCCATCTCGAACGTAGCTAACTTCGGAACAAATGTAATTTTTTCTAGTTCAGTAGCGGATGTGTCCTTTGCCTTGTCCACGTAGGTAGCCCTGCTTTTGTAGTCTATAGTCTCGTATGCTGTTAACGGAATGGGAATAATGCGACCCGTTCGTACGGAAACTCGCACTCTCTCACCGGATTCCGTGTACCTCCATTCCACATCTGTAGCTTTCTCATCGACAGGATCTACCAGTTTAACCTGCAAAATATAACAATTATTTTACACACTAAAAATCCTAGAGATAGCTGCTTCCTAATCTAAACATTCCATAGAAATTAAATGAATATGCTAAAATGGTTTCGAGTTCCACGTCCGGCAATCCTGTTAAGCATTGCTTCGAGTATATAAATAAACATGCTATAAAGCATTCGTTTCTGCTACGAGAAAGTTTCACCTTTGTAGTGTGCATATGAGCCACTGCAGAGTCTCGGTGTTGATCTACTTTTCGTGCATCTTACCTCGTAAACGTAAAATGCTAAACATTGTGTTAACTGACTTACTATGATATCATATGTAGATCACAACATAGCTAAATAAAATCGATAAAAAATTATTCGAAACCTGCGAAACTATGCCTTAATCGGTGTTTTATTCAAACACAGAATATATATATATATATATATATATATACTCTATAACAACTTTTTTTCTTATAAATAGGAGCATCTGGTAACGTAGCAAAGGACAGATGTCGCGAGTAAACATAAACGCCGCAAAAGCTAGTACAGATGAAATACGGCTCCATTAACATGTTTTATGTCATGTTTAGTATTAAATTAAAGACTAGTCGCATATATACCAATCCTTCACATCACATCTCTTTGACAACAAAACGCACTGTTTCCTGTTATCAGGCAATAAAACCTAATCTTTTTTGTTCAATATAAATTTTATTAATATTCTTTCTCAGGAATCATTAATATGATTTGGGTCATAATCCATCAGAAAGTAAATGTTAGGACTGCACTAGATAGAAACAGTTCTCATTTCACAAGTTTGGTTCTCGTTGGTAAAGGAACTTACCCGAGAGAGGGATTCACCAATAGTATCATACTTTCTACTCAAAAGGGGAGAATCGCATATTTTAAACGAAAAATTGAAAATGCCATCTAGCTGTTTCAATGCTAGTATATTCATTAAGTTGAAACCAGTTATTATAAAAAGTAAACTACAACGTGACATCAGAAGAAATTGTCTCAGATCAGCCATCAAACTTGGTTTACGAACTACTTCATTTATATTTACTTTATAAGTTTCACTGATCCTCATTAATATTACCTGGGTTCCCATAAGAAGGGGTAACTCCTCTCTTCTGTACTGTACTTTACCCATCCCTCGAGGCTCCTCTTTCAATTCTGTGTTTAAACCTTCAACCGTCACCCAGTTGCGCTCAGGCACAATATAATTGACCGTGCCCTGCGGAAATAATGCCACCAATAGCAGTAAAGCCATGAATATGAAGGCAGTATCACTTATTTCACTTTAGGTCACGTTAGCTATAATTTGCAGTAAGGTCAAGGATACCATTGATATGAGTAGCACTAAACTAGGATTTCTATGTCATTGTTGCATCGGTATTGCTATCCATAGTTTATTGGCACAGTTATCTAAATGACAAATATAAATATGTAATCTGAAATTAACCTATAAGTCCGATTTGTACTTCGTTTCGTTTTTTTTGTTTTTATCATACGTCGTAATCAGCACGAGTTAAAAAACTTGTCAGCCTAAGGAATGAGAACGAAATGAAACAGGATATAACAATGGCAATAAAACGAGGTCTATTGTATTTAACTGGCTTGATTAAAATGATTCCACGAACCTGCTTGCCCTTATCATCACCGACCATCACTTCTACTCGGTCTCCTCGGAAAAATGTGCGTTTCATCACTTGAACGGGGATGGGCCGGGCAGCTACGCCAGGTGGATTATCAGTCATGAACTCATTTGTCCACGGTCGATTCATCGTGTATCGAAAAGCCCACCATGGTTTTTGAACCACCTATCGAACGCAAGATGAACAAGATTCATGACAAAATTTATATAATCAGCATCTGAATTCGATTTGAATCGAAATATAATCGATTTCACAGTCGTATTACAAATGGAACAAAGCACAAAAAACATATGAATCGTTGTGATATACTTTAACGATAGGTACAAAAGTATAATTTCTTAAATTTCCAGAATCAATTGCCCTAAGCCTTTACAATGTACTTTGGATTGTGCAACTTAAATAAAAAAATCTTACAACCATTACGTTCAATACTATTTAAACTTTGGTTTAATTTCACTCATTTCAAGGATAATAATGAATAGATAGAGAACAATTCAACAGACTGTAGATACGTACATATGTCATCCTAATGGGTCTCGTCAGCTCAAAGGTAATCTGCATCTATATTATGCTTCTTTTAGTTAGTTTTTAGTTAGTTAAACCTATGACTTATACTTATTCGGTTAATAGACTTTACTTAGGCTCTATAACAAGAACACTTGTGCTGGTCATTGGAAATAAGTAATAAAGCAAATAACTTTAAGCTAAGTCGGCCTAATTGTAATTTATACTTTATTTCGAAAAGGGCAGGTTGAATATCTATCATAAATGATAAGAATACTGTAAATAATAGTTATTTCCAAATGAAGAGTAAATCTAAAAGTAATATTTGAACAAGCACTAGAGAGATTAGATGTTCACATAAGACATTTTTATGGAAAAAGAAAACTCCGTATAATACCAGACTCAGCGAACTACATAAAGGATTAGCCATTTTCAAACAGCTTATTTTTTTTAGATTTACCGCTCTCCTGAACTGGCGTCCATTCGGGGTGCGCCATTCCACCTGTGCCATAGCCCTTTTCACATAACTTTTTGGTAGGTTTGCATAGTCTTTCGGCAACTTTGATGCAGTCAAAAGAATGTGTGAAAGGCGCATCTCTTTAAAGAGCTGACCGCTTTCGTCTGAAAAAGTTCGTAACAAGAATTGAATACATTCACATCCAAGTCATATAAGATGAGTGGTCGTTATTGTAAGAGGACGGCAATTCTACGATAGTCTAATTTAGCGATATACGTTGAACGTAGTGGTCATGATTTGTTGGATAAGAGGCCATTAACCGAGTAGAAGCATTTAAGCGCGCAGTGCTAATACATTCTCAATAGAATGAATAGTCTACATCACAACAGCAGCAGTGTTATTCAATTATTGATACCGTTCATCATAAATTTTATCCTAGCTTGAATAATGTAGCTTTTTAACATCACAACAGATCAAATAAAATGAACCCACAAAGTTATTTTGTGTATAAAGTACCACTCTTCAGCGCACCGGACCTTAGATCATGCGAAACATAACAATTGTTGGTATTGATAAACCGTAGCAGACGATCAAATTTCGTGTACGCACTGGCTCTACGACTAAGAAGGTTTTTAGCGAAATTGTGAGTAATTAGATAGAGATAGCAGTCGAGAGGTAAATGTCAGTACGATTTGTTTTATATAAGGGTAACTTCTGTAGTTCTCTTTAATATCTAAAACGAATTTTCGTAAGAGTCGTACTCTTTTCGCATATTAACTACGAGTCTTTTACAGTTTGCGTGGCCTTTTTCAATGTAGGTAGAGCACTACGAAGAAAATTATTTCAGGAGAGCTGCTCTTTCCGTGAAGACATTATAATGGCAGTACAGATAATTCACCGAATCTCTTTTCATTGAATGGGGTCAACGTTTAATTTTTCTTTCTAAGTCTGTGTTCATTGGAAAATAAGCTATCTACGCAGAATCAACTGTGCTGCCTGTTTGAAGAGTCTTTGTCTGGCCAGCTGATCAGCTGATTTTGCTTAGCCGGGTTCACAATGGGAACGAATATGACTGATAATCGAAACAGCACATACGAGATGACTGTATGGAATATACTTACATCGTACTACATATGAGAACAGTCTTTTATGTAGTCCTATTGGGTGCACTGGTTGTTAGTCATTCTCGTTTTAGATACAGGCTTCTTGATATTACAGATTTGGAAATGGTGAAGGAGATCGGTATCGCCGTTTTGATAGGTTCTTAAGTTGCAATTAAAGTTTTAAGTTTTATCCCACCAGATGTAGGTGAAAAGAAACATTACTCAGATCTGGTAACACGGACGTGGTTCTTATGCAGTTGCATGTGATATTTGTGACTATTTAAACTACAGAATCCAGGCCAGGCCAAGTGGCAGGATGGCTTGGAGATGCCACGGAAAATCGAACGAAGAACTCGTCGACAACTTGTACAGTATGTACAGTATAATTTTCTTGATGAACATGAGTAGTACATTTCGCATAGCGCGGAAATGTGTTGCTTCATGCACATTAACTTTAGTTAAAGTTATTCTTTCATTATTGTGACAATATACAGTCGTTTACGCAAAAAACTATGAAAAGATATAAACAGACTTAAATTCGAAGTCGACTTAATTGTAGTGAGTACATAAGTCGATCATTATCAGTCGAAAAGAAGTGATTTTTAAGAGTATTAAAAAAGAACATTCGCATGGTATGCATATTATCATTATTAGATTTAGTTCTGTTTTGAGCCTTTGATGGTATATTCGAAGGTCTCATTTTTAACACATTTAATTTAACACATATGCTCTAAACGTCATATTTGTACAATTCTCGTGATAGAGTGGTTCGTTGATCATTAATGTGTTTTTCTTTGTCCTGAAGAAAACCAGGTCGTCACAACAGCCCGAGTGGCCGATGTCATGAAACGAGTGGATCGCGGAGACTTCTGCGTGAATACCGGAACTTCATACGATGATGCCCCCCAGAGCATTGGATATGCTGTCACAATTAGCGCACCGCATATGGTTTGAAATATTCAAGTATTACAGTTGGCCATGAAAGGTTCAAACCTTCAGTGTCAATACACGTGTCACAAACAAAGTACTTCTCCAAAATTAATCCAAACCGAAGTACTTCCCAAAAAATAACCCATTTATACCCGTAAAATATTCAAATTCAACATGCTGTAGAAAATAGCCTTTATTGAGAGGTGTTGATGCTAGGAGGTCTCAGACCAGAACCAGACAACGCCTTTCTTTTGAATTAGGGCAATATACAGGCCGTAACGTGTACGCAATATTTGCAATTGGTGTTACCTAATAGTTAGCTTGTTCTAATTATTAGCCGGTATTATTGCTGTGCGCCATATGGACGCATATGCAGTGATAAAATAATTGTGTAGCTCTTTTTTTTTTTGTTTTGTTCGCATTTGAGTAGCTTGTGTATATTACGGTAACGATAACGGGTAACTGTAAAGGGTGACATCTATTACACAACAATTGTTATGATAAAATGTACATTCCAGCATGCGTATGCTTTGGAAGCGCTCGCGGACAAGTTGGTTGAAGGATCTCGGGCCCTCGATGTTGGTTCAGGTTCAGGCTACTTGACGACGTGCATGGCCATTATGGTAGGCCCTAGTGGACGGGCCGTTGGCATCGATCATATACCAGAACTTGTGGAAATGTCGATTAGAAATGTGAAAAAAAACAACAGCAAATTGTTGGATTCATGCCAACTCAAACTGATCGGTAGGTAATTTAGAGTTATCGACTAATTATTTTTCATTTGACTGAAATTGGTTTAATATAATTGGTTTTCTGTTCTACTCCAAAATGATGTTTTTTGACTTGCAGTTGGCGATGGCAGAAAGGGCTACGCGGAAGATGCCCCATACGACATCATACATGTCGGAGCAGCAGCAGATACACTTCCAACAGAACTCATTGATCAACTAAAACCCGGCGGACGCCTGGTAAGACATACCCGCCCCCTCCCTCCTATGTATGATCTTGTCTATTTGTACTTCAGTTGCGACCACACTCTAGTATCGGTATGTGGTGTTTCTAAATTTTTGACGAACGTGCACTAGATCATAGAGACACTGTATATTATTTTGTGCACGGTCGATCCGTCGGCTTAAAAGACTGACTAAGTTAGAAATCTGTAATGAAGCACCATCTTTCACAGTCATGTATGGTGACAAAAAAAATCGACCCGCCATTTTTTCTTAAGCCTTAACTAACCTATATAACAAAAAACATACTATAAATAATCATAAATTTATTGGAATATTTCAGGAAGGGTATGTGTTATCTTTCTGTGTACAAGTTTAATTTGTTTCGTTTTTCAGGTTTGCCCCGTTGGGGGTGAGTATGACCATCAGGAGCTTTTGCAGATCGACAAGAATGCCGACGGGAGTCTTGTAAAGAGGTCGTTAATGGGTGTGAGATACGTCCCTCTAACAGACAAAGAGAAGCAGTGGCCAGGACGAATCAGTTAGGTGACTGCTATGACAACTGCTATCAGTTTTGACATAAATTAGGCGACATGAACCATATAAAAAGATACTGGACATCTAAAAAAATATATGTTAGCTATGATATGATTGCTAAAAACAATAGTGTTTAATGTTATAAGAGCGCATGTTCAATACATCGTGTCATAGTGATCCTTTGGAAAATCGCGATATATACAGCCGGGAGATTAGACCCCTGGAAATTCGACTGTATTTGAGTTGGGCGTTTTTCGGTTCAGCTCAGTGCACCTCTCCAAGCTGTGAAATATGTTGAATACGATGCGTTTAAAGCAATTATGCTTGGAATGCAAGAAAGGTCGAAATTGGTAAATTGAGTTCCTAACTTGCGACGTGTCACTACTTTTTCTGGTTGTAGAGACTTGAGCGGTTCTATCGTTTACTAAAAGAATGAATAGCGGTCCAGCTTCATCTGGTAGTGGTAGTGGCGGTACATCTTGTCAATTTTGATATGTTAGATGTTAATTTCTGTGGAGAATTTCCATTAGTAAACATATGCAGTGTTGCAGTTAACAATTTAACCTTAATTACATTAGGGAAACAGGAGTAAGTAGGGACATTTTTTGACCAGTTGATGCATACTTGCGACATGCGATACATTTGTAAAAAGAATCTGTATACCGTTTTAAAATGAATAGAATTCGCGAATTTGAAGGGGTAAAATATCGACCTTGCTTAAATTTTATGTATTTGTTAGGTGTGCATTAGTCCTTAAGAATAATAATGATAGCTACTACTGAATGACTTTTATTCGGAGATACAGATGACGTTGCAGCCACTTTTTTTTTGTCTTTAATATGCGCTGACCAATACACATTGGTAATGCTTTCAAACGTTGCATCAGGCCTCTTAGATCTACAATACATTTAGTCTTTTGTTCAGAATTGATGAACACAGCCACAATGGTAGGTTAGCTTGTGCTGCGTTCCTTGATGACGCGTAGAGACCGATCATTTCAGTTCGCGCGCTGCTTCGGAAACAACGGATCCGGGCGAGGCAGAAAACACCGAACGATTAGCAACACAGTGTCAAGATGCTGACTTTCTACCGTGTTTAGGCGTTTAGGTAGGCTGCATTATTGTGTGTTCATGAATCTGGTGTCGTGTATAGGCTAATAGATGTAGATTAGCAGATAGACCCTTTGTTTATCGGACGTAGCCTGTACGTAATGATAGTATGCAATATATGTCGTCGTAGCCTGTACGTAATGATAGTGTGCAATATATCTCGTTAATCTGTCCAAATCTATTGGCAGATGCCGAAGGCAAGTTAACTGGTGATACCTACGATGTGCACATACATTATCTTGTACATTACTAATTGCACCTAATAATCTGAAGCACTGAACACGTATATAAAGATTGTTAAGGTTGCCACTTGAAAAAACGGCATTATAAATTACTAACGTGAAAGAAGTAGGTACAGACGTTATGTCAGTTAGTCGATGCAAAAATGCAGCTTTGAAAGTAAATATAAATATTATAGCTATGTATTAAATAAACAAGATACGAGCGCTGAAACGTTCTTTAGAAGAGAGTTTTCAGTCGAGACTACTGCTCGAAGAAAATTTGTTCAGTCACTACACGTAATGACTGAACAAATGAAGTTACGTGTAACTTCATTGCAGTAGGCGTAGTTGAATTTTCCTTAAGCAATCAGATATAAACGAACGCTCTATTTACCAGTAGACTCTTTTCGAAAAACGTGGTACTGCAGATTTGACAGTAGTTTTTTTTGGAAAAACTGAATGGTAAACATTTCACTTGTTGTTGAAGAAATGAATTACGAAAATCTGTCTATTTTACTGTAAGGAGTAATGACGTTTGCAATTGGCGGAGTTAATTTTTGATATGTGAGTTATTGCAGCGCAAATGAGGTAGAGTGCTACACTCTACTTTTAATAGATCTGGTGTCTACCTGCTGCCTGCTTATCTTAAGTTACATAAGAAAGAATAAAGTGGAAATAAAGTCATACCATATTTATTTATGATAATATGCATGTATATAATTAATTGATTTAGGCGAATTAAAAATATAAGCATGCCTGTATTTATCTGTGCGGGTTCATATGCTATATGTACATAGATATCCTCCTTGTACTTCGCCGATTACTTACAGCAACCTCCCAAATCCGTTATTGGCTTATTGTCTGTCTGATTCCTTTTAACAGATGCGAATCGTTGTCTTGCCTTGCAGGATGAGATATCCTTGATCCTGCAGTTCTTTCATGACATCTTCAAATAGCTCTCTGGTTATCTGATATTGCCCATTCTCCTTAAACTCCTGAAGAATCTTGTTGTAGTTATGGGTTTGAGCACTTTTGGCTTCAAGATGTTTTTTGAGTGCGTTAGCAATTTCAATCTTACGCTGGCGGCCAGCAACCGACATACCGGTTGAAATAATGCCGACGTCAATTTTGCCTGTGGATGGATCTACAGCGGATTGTTTAAGGGCCTCTCGGTGTAACCGCTTAGCTTCTTCTACGTCCTCAGGTTGGACGGAATTAGCAAGTCGTACCTTAGCATGAGCCTCTGCGAGTCTAATAAGACTTTCGAGCTGACGAGGATAGGCAGAAACTTGACCTTTACGATTGCCGATTCGACGCATGTCGACATAGGCGTCAATTAGCATTTGCCCGGCTTCTTCGCTAATCTTTGGATGGCAGGTAGCTTTAGCGTATGCAATGTACTCTTTGAGAATATCCATTTCCATCTGGGTCTCTTGACTTTGCTCAGGTGTTTTATGGTAAAGAGAAACAAGGTGACGTGCAAGGCGCCGATCGAAGGCCGGATCTTGGGGGTCTAGCATGAGGAAGATTAGGTCAAACCTCGACAATAGTGTCGGTGGAAGTTGGATGTTTTCAATGATAGTCTTATTCTTGGCCCATTGCGAGTCAACGGGGTTGGCAGCGGCTAAAATAGACGTACGCGCATTAAGCTGACAAATAATTCCTGCTTTAGCTATTGAAAGTGTCTGCTGCTCCATAACTTCGTGCAGGATGGATCGTGTGGTATCATTCATCTTGTCGAACTCATCAATACAGCATATGCCATTGTCTGACAAAACCAACGCGCCCGTTTGTAAAATCATCTGCCGTGTCTCGGGATCCTTAGTCACATAAGCTGTGAGACCGACAGCGCTCGATCCCTTACCCGACGTATACTGACCCCTTGGCACTAAATGGTGGACATATTGCAGTAGTTGAGATTTTGACGTTCCCGGGTCTCCGCAAAGGAGGATGTTGATTTCGGAGCGAAAGTTTGCTTTACCTTCACCAGAAAAGTTCTTTTTCGTGCCTCCAAGTAGTTGTAGTAACAATCCTTTTTTGATGTCTTCGTTCTCGTAGATCCCTGGCGCAATTGCCCGTGCCAACCTATCATAAATATCTGGTTTCGTCGACAATTCTTTCAGCGTAGCTATACGATCCTCGGCAAGACGAATATTACCCTCTTGTGCTTCGTCATGGAGACGTTTATTGTCGAGTCTTCTAAAATGAATAACATCGATATGTGTTCTGTATACGGATCGTACGGATCGCTGCTTAGGGTTGGGTCTAACTGGTACGGCGCGGTAGATTCCTGTTACAGTAACACGATCGCCAGGCTGTACCGAGTCGACGAGATCACCATGCGCATACAAACACACAGTGTGAGGGGTTTGTCCGGCGGGCATGTCGGCTGGATCTTCCTGCAGCTTAATCATTTGCTTGTCAATAAAGGCACACCTGTTGTGCACCAGAGAAAAGCTGTACTTTGTCGAGCAGTGGCGACATGTAGTTGGTTCTTGAATACTGCCACGCACGATGTGCACGCTTTCGGTAAACGAGCATAGCGTGCATTTGAAGAAAGCTTGACGCATTTCGGGAATGATATTCGACGCCCGGATGGTCATCCCAGCGATGGTTACTAATTGGTCGATGTCTTCGGGGTTCAGTGAACGCATACATTTCGTAATTTCACCGTTGTAGGGACGGACCTATTTGTCAATTAAAGTAAAATAAATAACAAAATAGCACAACCAACGTGAGTGATTAGCCAAGTCTTTAGAACTTTTATCTGCGTTTCTGCACAAGCTATCACTGTTTAAATTAGAAGATTTTATTTTATTGTTGTTTTAGCTTAATTCGATGTGACGTTTGGACAGTAGCTTATATTTAATGATAGGTACTCTAACCAACGGAAGCTAATGCGTACCCTTTGATTAGGATGATTGCGATATTTAATAACATAATCTTTACCCTTTTACACTACGCCATACCTGCACGACATCGACATTATTATCAGGGAATTTTTCGTTGAAAAGCTCAGACAAGGCCATGTCCATCGTTGGTAGCATATCCTGGGGATAACACTTTAATTGGCGAGCCAGATCCGGTTCAGCCTTCGCCAAATGAGCGCAATTCACATGTAGATATTGCTCCTGAAAACAATAAATAATTCATTTTAAAGATTCTTCTGTTTTCCTCTTTTTATTTTTCTTTACTGTGATCGTTTCAACAGCGATTATGATATTTTTTAATAACTTAAAGCCAGATTCTGGGAAGTGTTGCTAAAAAACCTTTTTTTTGTTTTTTTGTATACGTGTCATAACCGAGTGTGTGTATGTGTTCGTTAAACATGTCACTAGGCTTGACGACGAAATCTTCAATTGTAGCGCTACCGTATGTTGTTGGTTTAACAAGGGACAGAATTCGAAACGGTCGTACATGGAAATGTTGTGCAATACAGGTACTCCATTCATGAAAAATGCCTATAGCCATTTAAGTGGAAAACTCTTTCGCGAATAAGCCAAAAGGAACTTTTTACATAAATAATGTTTGCATCTAATTTCTTTAACACGATCGATATGGTTAAGCGTGCATAGATTTAGGCGTAACAGAAATGGGATGTCTCGTTGTCGTACCTCGAGCACATGCAACTCCTCCAGCTTTTGTAAATAATACGGCTTCGTTGGGTCGATACCTTCAGATTGTTCATCCCTGTCTAAATTCTCCTCAACGAAGGTGAGCAGGAAGTTGCGGAACTTTGCTTTGCAAACAGGAACACAGACGTCGGTGCCCCATACAACGATCTGGGGCCCTGCCTCGGAAGAGGAGGCGGCGTCAGCTTCCATTTGGTCGGCACGAACGTCTGAGCTTGGTGCAGCAGCTCCTATCTCAACCTGACGCAAATAGCGATCATTATGTAGATCACTACGCTGGCGAATTTGGCCTGCCAGTAGACATCAAAAAGGAATTGAGCTATTTTTCGCAGATCAATGCAATAGAATAATTTAGAAGCAGGTGTGTTCTATACAACATTCTTTTCCATTATAAGTGTTGTTAACTAGATCAAAGGAAAGCGTAAACAAAACAGCCCTTTCAAAATGCTAAACGTCTTTAAAGATACATCATGGGTTATTATTAGCGATTTTCGAATCATTACTATAATTTAGCTGTTCTATGAAAGTGTGACAAGTAACATAGGTCATCTGACTAACCTCTCTGACTCGACGAACCGGCAGGAGTGAGTGCCGAACTTGGTGTGCCATAATTCAGGGGTGAACTGAGGTCGAGGTCAGTGAAAATGCCATGTCTCACGAAAGGCGATGACGGTGGGATGACATTTGGCGACAGCGGATGCGCCAGCTCAGAGGAGGCCGCCTCAGACAATCCAGACGCCCCCGACGAAGGCGGTGCTTGCGCGTCTAACCGTCTTCGAGACGGAGTTCCTCGTGACGGAGTACCCCGCTGTCGAGAAGGTCCTGGAGATCGAGTCGAAGCTGCAAGAACACAGTAGTATAATCGTCACCAAATCGTATGGGCGATTACCGTTGTACCTAGGGCGGCATGTTTCATTGAGGAAGATACTTCATTATAGCTGCTTTAGAAAATTTCAGTTATTCTGGGAGATGCACTCGTAAAAGATGACATTTATACATTCATTAACAGCCAAATATTCGTATACCCGCTGTTTGAAAGTAACTTAAAATGATCACAAATATCGGCCAATAAACACCCTTCAAAACTTTTTTCTTTTTTTGTTTAACCTTTTTTTTCTATTAACGAAACCGGTCTTGCATTTAGATTTGCCATCACAATTGCATAAGGTGTTTTCCACAGATATCAATTATTTTCTTCCAAAGGTAGACGCAATACATCTACTTACCCATAAAGATGTAACTGAACCAATACACCCGTAAACTTGAAATGGTCTACTAAGTAAACTAAGTGAACATCGTTGATATTGTAACAAACTACGACCCACCAAATTTTATGGTAGAAAAATCATTGAAATCCACTTACGGGTGCGAGGACCGCCCTGGCGTCCCTGTGATGACCTGGGAGACGACATAACTGCAAAGAAATAACGAATCACATACTTAGCAGGCGAAATACAGACTTCTATTCTTTATATGGATAATTAAAAGAGATGCAGCTTCTAAAGTGAGCTGGAGATCGACTTGGTTTGTATATAAATTGTCTGTACTATAGTATGGGAACACAACTTTAATGGGCTAAAATTTAGACCATGTTCTTTTTTGGGGCTATTAGTTGCTCATTGAGGAGGTACGATGGTTTGTGTTTGTAGACTAATGAATTGACATACATGCATGGATGGCATGCTGTCTATCAAAATGTGAAATTCATTAAAAAAAAGAAAAAAGACAACTTACTAACTTCTCTATATAAGAAGATAAATGCTTCTCGATCGTTCTCAGCTAAGTTATAATCTGTTGGAAACCTTAGTTGTTTACGCGCCAACCGCCATATTTAGCGCCAAAATTTGTTTCCTGTTCTCTTTTGTTGCCGGTAGAGGGCGCGTAGGCGCATGCGTGAACGATACATATGAACGATACAAATGGTTTCTTTCTCAAACACCATCATTTTGTAGTGAATTCTTTAGTATTCAATTATGTAGATTTATTTTCATGTAAATATTTATTACGCAAATGTTTTCTCTGCTCTGTTTTCTGTTCTAGTTTCTGTTTAGGAAGTGAGTGCGCACAGTATATGAATTGATCATCGCAAAAAGAGATCCGAAGAGTCAATGTGTCATATAATGAAGATACAATGAGTGAGCTGTAAGCAAATTGCCCACTATACTATATGAAAAGTTCAAGGCGGGACCGAAAAATCTCTTAGAAGGTCGATATATGTATGAGGCTATTACTTATGTAAGTGATAGCACAAAATCTCAATACTCGGGGACAGTGCCAAACAAAAACTCGAACTATTGACGTCTCTGTGATAGTGCAATGGAAACATGGTTAGTTATATCAGCAGCATAAAGCGCAGACTAGTGGAGTACTGATTGGACTTAAATGAATATATCGCAAACCTTGTACTTACTTAAAGCATGGTTAGCTATAGAATAAAAATTATTATTTATGTATTATGTATCCGACTTATATTATCGCAGATGTAGACAATCTTTTAATGTTGAACAATATTTTGTTTATGATATTGAAAACTTTGTCTCATCTAAAGTTATGCTGTAATTTGTGGCAATCATTGAGGGTCTCGCCGGATCCAAATAGCCACCTATTTCCGGTATCAATAGATTGCGACTCTTGCTAAACTAAACATTGCTAAACAATTGCTAAAACGAACAACAACAACTAAACTTGCTACTCAAAATAAAGCAACTTGTTTTTTTATTCTATCCTTTATGCAGGATTCAGTTTTCATTTGTTGCACAAGTGTAAAATGTTTAAATAAAATGTCACAAATCGAAGTTTTCCAATAAAATTTATGCACCAATAGTGATGCATAATAATCACTTCAGCTCTTCCCTAGAATCAGACTATATAAACATATAAGGAACTATTGACAAATAGTCTGAACTAGATGCTGAGACTTTTGTCGGTTCAAAAATTAACTTTAATGCTCTGTTTCCATATATATATATTTAATAGGGTAAGATACTTACGTTAATTTAAATAATGCGCGAAAGAAGAAATAAGCCATCCTTCTTCATCTTGTACCATCAATAGTACCTATGTGAATATGTGGAATATTAATGGATTATAAACACGACATAAATCTAGGTATTGGGTTATGCGCTGAGACATCTTAAAGGATCATAGTAGATTATAGTAGTCATATTCAAACACACACATAAATATGAAAACAATGCCAGAGAATTCTAATATAATATCGTCCTAAAATCATTTCTTTAACTTTGGATAGATGTTCGTCCAAATGTTTACCTTGCATATTCTAGCACACACTAAACTTACGAATTTATTTTAGCTAGTAATCGATGCATGTAACCGATGACTACGGTTCTCTCTATCTATATGAAAAGTTTACCATACTTTATAAGTTGTTCTCAGTTTCTCTCAGTTCACATAGTAATGATTTATTATAACACATAGGTCATAATACAAAACGTTATATAAAATAAACTTACCTTTAAGAGTAATCTATTAGCTCACAATATCATTATATATAAAAGACGCGTTGCTAAGTATTAAAATTATTAATTTATTATTTCTTATACTTATTTTGGGTTCATTTAACAAGAATATTTTACCCGAATGAACTGGAAAACATAAATTGTATTACCACCCTCGTCATTCTGGAAACTGTTGGCTACAGCATCCTTTCATAAGCGCACGCTTCTTCATCACCTATTGTTTGTTATCGTAAGGTCTCCGTTCGTTTTATTCTATTATTCGCCCGTCTGCAACGCGGATTTTAAGTTTTTCCCCCTAATACATATTCTTTCAATGAAAATTCAACCTCGGCTGTTTCAGACTGTTTCAGAACTAACTGCACTCTGCCATACACAAGCTCAAGTTCAGGGCGCATTTTAACTAATAAAGGATGAGTAATCAATTTTAGTTTTCTTTTCGTTGTTAGAATATGTCTATTACAGATGATTAGCTGCATTTTTCCTGATACTATAGATATCGCGCTTTGTTTTTCCTTAATATATAACTCATAGTGAATTATAATAATAAACGTAAAGGTTTGACCTTAAATGAATATTCTGTTTCCGTTAGACCGATCCAGACCGAGACCATATTTCCTCCATTTCGATATACATGTAGTAAGGCTAATATTATATTATTATTATTCACTATGAGTTATCGGAATGTGCTTTTGACCTTATACTATGGCAATGACATGTTGGAAAAGTGTTGTAATATGGCAGTCAGTAAAAGACTGCCAAAAGGCTTGTCTAAGCCTACTGAAGAACCGATGATTACAAAAGATGAATCATGTGGCAGGTATAGCGTATTCACTTAACGATAGCGAACAAAATAACCAATAAACGTTTGTTAACCGTTAGGTCTGATGAAAAATTTATTGATTTATTGGTTTAAATGGAAGCAAATATAAGTCTGTACTTACTCAAAAATTATTATAGATACATTCGCGGCATTTTTTTGAATCAGTAAATTGATATAACGTAACAACGGACATACGTCGTTTTCTATGTTATCGAACTTTCATCGCGTTAAAAATGCATTTGATTTACTCAAAATTTTTGTATGGTTTCAATCTCTTTTATTTCGACCGTATATATTACGTTATTTCGAGATGCGGCCGTTCCTATGATCCGGAAAGATTATTTCTCTGGAGGCTTAACCAGATCTCGACCCAGACCATAAACGCGACAACAATGGAAAGAAGTTTTCAAGCTGTTTTTCCCTAAAAAACTAAATTAGCTTGAAACTCTTTTTACATTCTACCACCACGTTTGCTCAGAATTAATCACAGAATGTCGCCGGCGCACTAGTTAGGCTATTGTATGTGTTTGTTCTTCCTAAGTTCTACAGTTTGATAATTATTCGTACGTGGGCATTTATTTTTATTGAGTTGATATTCCTAACATTTCTATAGCGATTGAGGTAACTCTATAGACTGTCAAACGTATTTCTTCTTTATTAGAAAGAAATAATGCTATTAATAGAATTTCCATTTCATTCTATTTCTACAGTGTGCGTGCCGGCTTGGAACATTTCTTTGGTTTTTGCTGCTTTGGCGTCTAAATTGCTTTTACTTGTTCTGACTTATTAATCAATCACTGGCCAATTAGAATCACATGCACATTGAGATCTCAACTATCTCCTAATTTCGTTAGTATTAGAACTTAGTCTGAATGGATCAGTATTTAGATTAGGCTTTGCTTTGTTTGATGGAAGGTAAAACAGTCACGTATTGAAACAAAGAACTTTTTGGGCCACGTGGGATTTTTACGTGTATACTCTGCCGCAATGGCTGGTAGCCATTTGACCGTTGCGATGTGTAGATGCTTGTGGTCCGTGGTCAACTTAAAAGCTCTTAGAAAGTGATTGTTTGAAAAAAGCCTTTTCTGCATTAGATATCTAAAGATATTACTTGGATGCCTTTACATTTAAACGACCGCTCGCCAGTCAAGAGTGCTAAGATTACATCACCTGTTTAGTCAGTTGATGCAATCATCAGTGTAATGACGATCATTGTGCTGATACTATGCTCTTCTATTTAATTCGCTATAGCTAGACACTTTTCATCATTCGAGTTTTCAACGTAGTACATCGGTGCCATTTTCAACAACACTCTATTAACTCTGATTCTGCTGCTACATCTGGTGGTCACTGCAGAAGTTCTTCGTCCGTCTCCTGTTCGACGAACTTTCGCCCAGACTTGGGGGCCACAGTCGTTTTATTCACCATTTCAGTCTCCACCTATGAAAAAAAATCCGTGACATCTATGCGGGAATTATAACAATGATATGCAAGAGAGACAATTCAGAATTTAAGGGATGAATAAAGAAGGCACTCGACTCGCAATGATCCTGCCGCATTCATAGCTTTATACTTTCCATAGTTTTCTGGCTTTAGTACAGGCTTTTATTCCTTGCTTGGTATTCGTTGAAATCTATTCTATTAATTTTTTGCATTGGCTGATTTTCTACATAACTGCTGCATACATAGCTGTCGACGTGTACCTGAATGGTGGCGGGCTGGTCATTGGAGGTCTCTGATTCGTCATCATCGGACGAAGAGGCTCTGACGAGGCAGTCCGTCTCAGACTGAGGGCCCGGCTGAAAACCAACGAGACTACTCCCTATGGTTCCATTTGTTATTCCGTCGTCTACACTGGTTCCGCCGCCTGAAGGAGCACTGCTACCTGATCCTTGCAACTGGCCACCTGTTAACGTAGAGCCGCATGTTCCTTGAGCCGTTGGAACCCGGGAGTACTTCCAGCCGTGACGTCTGCAGGAAAAAGCGGATATTTAGAAAAAGTGACTAGTGCTTCAATAGTCATAACCATTAAGATAGAAACATTGCCGGCAAAAACCCTCCTCTCCCTTTCTAGAATAATCACTCAGAAAGATCGATCTTGGCTAACCACTTCAGATGCTCTTAATAGATAGTTACTTAAAAAGATAGTTATTAGATTAATAGTTACCATTACTATTATCACTATTATTACACATCTTGCCTGTGATATAGGCAAAATATTTATCAGATCACCAAAAGGAGAAAGGAGGTGCAGGGAAGTTAAGCTATATGCAAATAATATTGCAAGCTATCTACTGGTATTGCGAACGACGCTACCCAACCAACATTTGTACCAAAAGGACTCTCACATTAGCTCACAATGAAAAGTGCTTATATGTAATTGACCTGTTATGAAAATGTGATTAGAGGCAACCTGTGAAAAGACAAAATTTTAACTACGTGATGGATTTCGGAAATCCTTACAATACTTATTGCTGTTATCGTTGTTATGTGTTGACGTAACCTATGTGATGTACCCTTATTGGTGTCCGACAAGTTAGCTAGCTAGAGGGCCGGCTATTTTTTTTTCGATAATCGCATTTTACTCTTCTGACTTGTATACTATGCTCGTCTATGACATTCGTAGCTTTGCCTTAGCTTCAGATGAGTTCAGTTCTGTTCAGTACCTAGCCCGTTTGACGCGCTGAATCTTCTTGCAGAGATAAACGGCTACAGCTAGCACCACTCCGATTGTAGTGAACACCAGTGCGACCATCGTCGAGACTTCCGCCATGGCGAGAGGCTTCACTGTTTCTCTACTCAAGGCTCGGCTGTAAACCAATTCTGCAGTTGGCTTCTATTATGAACTGCTCCACCTAGATCCTTCTCATCCTTCCGTCACGGATATTTTGAATAAAATATCCATGCATTGAGGAAAAAAGATGTGGCAATAGAAGTGTTGTCATGGCCGGTGATCTTTTGGGCCTTTAGGACTTTGCCGCGAAGGCATGGAACCCAGTTACATGATGGCACTCCGGGTCGTAACTTTAATTCTTGCTTATCCAATATAAAATCTAAAACAGAGAATTCACATTTAGTTGATATGATTAAGCAGTCCATTTCGTCTTCCATATAATTAACTGCTTTCTAGGATTGCTAACAATGTACTAATAATGGTTGAATTCGTAATCTCTCTGGATATTCACTGATTAAAGTACGACTTTGCTATTGGATTCAAATAATACATATTACACTTATTACCGATTTTCTAGTTTTCGGGATCATCATCACAGCCGAAGGCAATCAACTGATCAACAGAAAATAACTGAGGCACCCATACACACACAATGGAACGTTGTTTGCTGCTGCGTTCTGCGGAAAACTCATTCTGTAGGCAGATATGTTACCACTAGCTACGGTCCCGGATTCTCGCTTTTTCGGTGTTCCTAATGCTTACGCTATTATACTAGGCATTACGCAATTGGAAGCTACTATAATTTAAAAATGCTTCATATCGTCTTTGAGCTTTATATGAGGTCAGGAAACGCATCCGACATCCTAACGTTTTCCTACCAACTCACTTTCTGTGAAAAACGTATGTTGTTGTTCATCTGATCGGATAGCACAATCTAGATTCATTTCTATGATTTTCTATTCCGTCAAATTCATAGTAAAAAAAACAAACATCTTTAGTGATAAATTCGTAGTTTGTGAAAAGAACAGATCTCTTTATGATTTCGATGTCTTACAAAACAAAAAAAATCCCCGGGGTAACTCAGGTTGAGAAATACATTATTCGTTTATTATATATTAGATGCCTAGACGACACTCGGAAGTGCGTCGCCATGCAACTCGACGTCCACCTGATTGCCAATTGGTTCTCTAGCACGCCTACATTTCTTTGAAGGAAGAAACCAACGAACGACTCGCATTCGTGGTAGCGTGGAGTTCTTAGGTGCGTGGAAAAGGGACAAATGTCGAAATCATTTCACGCAGGAAGTTAAGTGTTGACGCTCAGTCACTCACTCTTCTGTTGTTTTCGCCGGGTTATTGCACGGTACGTTACGATTCTGCGACGATGTTATTTCTCTCTTAAATTGTTTAACCCAGAAGAAGCAGCAGCAGCAAACCGGGAGAGCGGAAACCAACCAATGACGTTATTGTAGGAAAGAGTAAACTGATTCTCCTGTAGGCATTAACAAGACAGACAGACAGACGGACAGACAACCGAACATACCCCATCTGCGAGGATCACCGCACCAGATTAGGGACTGGATGACGAATCTTAATGGCCGACGCAAGAAAGGAGTTGCACAGGCAGACAAACAGGTTACATTCACCGATAGACGACCGCGACGGCAAACGGTGGTAGCTTAAAGCGAGGGTATTTTTCCTTCTCTCCTCACCCCACCAAATAATTACCCTCCTCCTCGTCATCGTCGTCCTCGTCCTCCAACCCCCCGGAGGTGCGAAAGCGAAGTACTCGTGAACCGTCGTGATCAGGCACAGAAGCGCGGTCTTTTTTCGACATGAGAACATCCACTACCACCTTTTCAACGCTGAAGTTACCCTCTGCATTCACCTGACTAATGATGTACCTTAGCTGTCGAAGAAATTAAATCTGCATTTCTACCAATGTGAGACAGTATTAAGTTATCGAGATAGAATCTAAAAGCCTTATAAGCTTTTTAGGCCAGATATGATTTAATTAATATATTTCTATTAATTCCATTGAGGAAAGGAAAAAGCATTTCAAATTTTGAAAAAAAAAATGCGGTTCTTATTCACACTAGTTGTATAGGAAAAGGGATATAAAATATACTGTAGTAAGTGTGTTGTTTCTTAGATCCACTAGTTGTAAACCAGCGTATAGGTTCAGCCGTCAATACTACACACCGAATCTTTTCATAAGAATATAGAAATCTCGTTTGTTTTGTGGATAGATAGACCAACAAAAAGACAAGCTATTTTCTCGCCAGTCGATAAATAATGTACCTGAACAACAGCTGGGGTGGTATAAAACAAATAGGAGAACCGAAAGGAAAGGATCGCGAGGGTGACAACGGTGAATGTGTTGAGTTTTGAGAGGTTTCTTTTTAGACGACCCTTTGGAGTATTTGTCTGTTTGCGCCTCTTAGGCCTCGTTAGACATCGTTGATACAGGAGCATTGGTGCCATCACGTTCTATTCGACTGGCTATTTTGAGTGTGTGGAATGAAATTGTCAAATTACTCCTGCATAGTTAACAATGAACGTTAGATTTTATCCATAAATTAATAAAGTAGTAAACTGGGTAGCAGTTTAGCAACTGAAACAAACACACGTTGCTTGCACCGTATTTAAGAAGTATTCGTCCACTTGCAGAAATATTGATTGTAATTTGCAACGCGAGAGTCTCGTTGTTGCGGGGCAAAGCGCCTTTGGTAAGATGGGCAACTCGGTCCTTGCTACCTAGAAATGGGTTTTGAGTTTGCGCCACATACTAATGACACTGCAAAATTGCGTGCGCGTACCTTTATCAAAAGACCGTTCTTTAGGCACGATAAAACGATCCCATTTGCTATGATATGGGTGCTAGCCGTTATCGGGAAGGTGGCTAACTGGTTCAAAATTAGCCCTTAGTACTCAAAGAGAATCTTGATCAGATATCGAAACGAAGAACCACTTCGAGCTTTGACGTGCAAGATGAACAGCTTGCAGCCGAGGAAATCAGCAGAAATTGAGCTAAGCTGAGTACTCTATGGATTGCTGCGTCGTTGGTAAGAAACGCCATAAGCGCGATAGCTCGGTATTCAAGTTCACTGTTCTCGGTAAATGTCAGAAATCGAAAGTAGAATTTACGATTACTCACCAGAACAAGTTCTTTCGACTTGACTGCAGGGGCATGTTTTTGTGCAGAGTTGCGAACTTCAACTTTATGCGACTCATTATCTTTGAATAAAGAAAAAGATTTGGAAAATGAATAAAGTTCCGTGCCCTGCTCGCACACGAGACATTTCCGCTGTTTCTTGCTAGCTATCCAGCGCTCTTCAGGATGGTCACTGTTCAACTTCTCGTAACAATCGTTGTCTACACTTGAAGTGGTCGACTTCTAGCTAGTTTGTCGATTTAATGATTGTCCTAAATTACCGAATTACATTCCTAAAAATGATCGTCGTATATTCAGCGAAATTATTCAACTTTATCACATAATTAAATCATTAATGTCCGGAAATTTTTTTTATGGCTATTTGAGTTGCGTATTACAAAAATCGAATGATCTTTCTGATATTTCTGTAGAACCATTGTATCATACTAAGTAAATTTCCTAATGGACTTTTTGGCGGTTGGACAAATGCTTGTTTTGTTTTTTTTTTTATTACGCCGTTTCCCCTGAGCAAGTATTCTTTTTGGCTCAATCATTTTACACAATCGTAACGTTAAATTGTTGTTAATTCGAGAAGCTCACTTTTAGTTTTGATCCTCTACATTTTAACGCATTCAGCTAAAGTAACAAGGTAACTAAATACTTTTGAGAGTCGCTATACTTCTGTGGCATAATGTAAGTAGTTTAAGTTTGGCAGATCATATTTATATGTGGTTCACTGCGTCTGAGTTATTTCTATATGGTAAATATATTTTGCTATGCTCATGTTGCAAATAGCTGGGTCTGTATTGATAAGATCCATCTTCTATCGGTATAAGAATCGCGTTTGCTATTCTTACGTTGTTCGTTAGTGCACTGCGCAAATGCCTAATACGTATGAGTGTAAAAAAGGTTCTAGAATCCTAGGTACAGTTAGGTGGCCGCCTCTCAAATGTAAACTTACTACCAAAGTACTTGAAGATTTTATATCCACGAAGCTTTTTATTATCGCTGCAGCTGGCACTACTATGATTGCGATTTATTTAAATTTAATAAAAATATTTAGATAAATATACCCGTCTAACGTGCACTGCTTCTACCGTGTAAAGATTCCCGACTCCCCAACTCAGGGTTAAACATATCGGTAATTTTAGAAATTGTTAATGGATGAACTTTAGAAAAATATGCGGGGTATCTAAAACGGTGATTCTCGGCCTATAGCGGCGCAGCGCCCGGTCGGAAATTCTAATAGACCACTTGAGTAGAGAAAACGAACTGTGATTTTGATGTCTGCAAAAAAACAAAACTACACTCTCAGGAAATGGCCTTTAGTCTCTGCTGCGTAAGGTAAACGTGAAATGTTTATAACATGCACATGATTTTTTTTCCCAAACTGGTATGTCATCTAAAAGAATATAATAAAGTAGAGCTTTTTAGGTAAGTGTCTACTAAAAATAAACTCTAACGATTGTGTTTATTGTAGGGTCTCGTTGCTTTTGCAGTTACTAAATTAGGTGTTTCGCCTCAATGTGCGCCAAAACTCACATTCGTGCGTACAATCTTGCCGTTTAACATTCGGATATATATTAATGGAGCGGTACTATTAGATTAATATAATTACCCTTTTTCAATACTATATGTTAGCATTTCTTATAACAAAAGTGAAATAAAGCCACTATAGTTAGCATTTGTTGTTGATTATCAGGTTATCCACAAAAATGTATGTCGTATGAGTTTATGTAATATTATACATGTATATTAAAATGTTTTCGAGTTCTACTCCCAGTACGAACCCCTGGCGGACGCTTCCAGCAGTGTAAAGGATATACGCGCGTGCTAATGAATCTGCACCTATGTGTATTGAACCCAGATTACCTCATCACCAAGTGCCCCAATGTCCCTAGATGCATATATAGTATATATAGACGATGATGTATGTAGCCTCGAAATTCGTTTCTATTGTGCAACGATTTATCCTGCTGCGCCCTCTGGTAGAGCTCTAGCAAAATATAAAAGATATTTCCTGCAAACACCTACCACCCATGGCCCTCGCTAATGGTAGGTTCGTTTACCTTGGAAATTTCTCCGTGCCCTGGGTCTGTATTTAGTACCGCACTGATTTTTAGGTTGTAGCCTACCCCCTCGTCTGACTGTCTATCTGTTCGACTGTCTCGCGGCTTTATTCGTAGAGTGAGCGCAGGCAACAGGCAGTAGGCACTGGTGGTGGGTGACAGCCATTCGTCCACAAACAGCGGAGCAGAGAGTGCGGGAGAAAGGGAATGGGCCGACAATACTCAGCAGCAGCAGCAGTACTTGTTTGGATAGTGCTGGTAGATCAGTGGGCCACGATGATGTCACGGTGTTAGCTGTAGTAGTTAACAGCCGTTCCAACAGCTCGGGCTGGTTAAGTTGCACAACGCGAACCAAAGAACGATTCTTGTTCTAAATAGCCAAAGTAAAATTCGCACCAGTCACAGAAAACCTTCACGCTTTTTTTGAATCGAATCAAGAAGAACTATACAAAAGTAGACAACATAAAAGATTGGATATGTTAACGTTGGTCGGTATCATTGGAGAAGACCGCTTACTCTGTGTTATCGTAGAAACGAAATTGACACGTGTATGCAACGTACAGTGAAGATGCCAGCTGTCGAAGCCAAACCGGACGTCGTACCTCAAGAAGCCGTATCTGCGCCACATGATGACGAGGGCAAAGAAGATGTCCTGATGTCTAGAAATGTCAAACTTATTCCCATCACTAATCAAACGCGGGAGCTGCAAACCATTATCCGAGAAAAGTAAGGCTTCATAACCCATAGGTAATGGTTCAAAGCTGATTCTTGATGTAATGTCATTATATCGGACCGTATTGATTAAATCTCGAATGAACATAGACTTCTAGTAGTTCCTAAATCACCTATAAACTAGGTTGTTAAGAAAAAGCAAAATGAGTCACATTAAAAGTTTTTTAGAGCAGAAAGGTACATTATATCTGTGTGCTCTGTGATACACTGCGACTTGATCATTATTTTTGTTGCGTTTGTATATTTCCCCGTCAGTCATGTTTCCTGGAGCCCTATTCTTTTAGTAGTGCCTTAGTAAGCCATTGCTGTAAGATCTGCTTTTTTTTTTGCACGTTATTGTTGTGGCGCGCTGATCAGCTATCACCGTCAGCTGTTATTATAGGTGGATGATGATAGCCTTTACTGCTGATGATCATGATGACTATACAACACGCATTTAAGCAACAATGGCTGAACTGAATGCTTTCCAAAGCAGATGATAGAATAAAATTGCAAAGCGATTATGAACCCAATTTGACTGACCGACTGTGAACATAACGTTTGCGTTATGAGTTAACGGGCCAATTTGAATGTACTTTGTTGTGTTGCTTTAGAAATATTCCATATACCTGTTAAAACAGGTTATATAGGCATGTTGAGTTTCTAAAAACCATCAATTCCCCTGTTTTGTACTTTAGGCATTGCTGATTTCTACTGTAAAGTGATTGATGGCGTTTAGGGGCGGCGTGTGCGAAATATACACTGCGCCACAGAGAATATTATTAATCTTAAGTGGCGAAAGATTGTTAATTTCTCAAAGTATAGTGATACCTGTATCATATATATATATATATATATAAGTCAACGTAGTTTACTTTGTTACCCGTCGGTTAATACTGAAAATGGGTAAGAGTTTTTCATAAATCGACATAGATATTATCGCCGAGTCAAAGTTTGTGGTACTCAATTTTATAGAAAAAGGAACCTGTATTTTGTCGCTTCTTCATAATCGGTTCCTTATACGATTTCACCGCCTCATAAAACTTTGTTACCTAAATAAGTGAAAAAGTTGTACAAAATTAGATTTGTGCACTGCTGATCTCTGTACCAATAGGGAACGCATGGCACAAGGTAGAAAATTGTGAAAAGCATATTGCTAAATATGTTGCGATTTTTAACTAATTTGTGAGAGGCCCATGTTGGTAACAGTTTGTAGGCGCAACATTTAGTTCCGGCAAAGCTGACTTAGTGCCCAAATGCTGTGTTTGCCATAACGGTCCGTTCGCAACTACTCTTTAAGTGGTCTAAAAAGCAGTACCGTTTTACTTCTAATAAGCGTGAAAAGGCGTGGCAAAAGTGTTACTGCGAATAATTTATAAAGATCGTTTATTGGTTCTAGTGATATTTGTACGTTAATTTGTTCGTACGATTCATACTTGCCGTAGTGCTCAATGACCCGAAGTTGGAAGGCAACAAAACTGTTGCGTAGTCTAATTATACGGTTAGAAACAACCAGTAAACTGATTCTCATCTTAATAAATAAACAAGTATCAGGGAAAAACCTGTTACAGACATGTTAATATAGAAAAAGTAAACTTTTAGCTCCTGATGTTAATATAGAAAAAGTAAACTTTTAGCTCCTGCAAAAACGTCCAGTTGTATGATGCATGTTCGGTATATGTGAGTTATTTCGAAGTCCTTCAACACATCGTTTATTTTTTGTGTAACCGGAGCACTCGAATAACATTGACAAAAACAAAAAAAAATAGACTTTGAACTACTTCGTTTGACAGGTGTGTATTGTTTATAATTTCAGAAATACTTCTCGCGGAGATTTTGTCTTCTACGCAGATAGGCTGGTAGGTAAAAAGTTAAGTCTGCTCTGACGTTTGTAATTTAGTAATTGAATATTCGCTGATTACTACTCTATAGCTTGTGCAGTTTGTACTTTACTTATTCGGCGAAATTAACGTAAATAAATGTAATTAAGATCATGAAAATTTCAAGTTGCGCGGTGCACGACGATAGAGAGCATTCAGTGCGGACCATTCAAAGAAGAAACAATTTTGTGTACATGGACTAAGACTGAAACACAAAATGAAAGATATCATGATTCATTATGCCGCTATAAATAGGTCTGTGATCGTGAAGTTGGCCTTCATCTACCAAGGTCGAAACAGGGAGTCGCTCCGTGCTTCTGGACTTCTTGAGTGTGACTGTTCGTCGCGTTCATGAGCACCTTCATTATTATTTAATCGTAAATAAAATTCCGACAATTAGTAATATGCGCAATTCTAGTTCAGTCAGTTACCAGAACCGACCATTTATTGAAATACCATTGAAATAATTTATACTATAAGAGCTGTTATCATTTGGGTATGAATATGTCATAAATTACAAAGAATAATGTCCAGATAATTGTCAGCATGTGGGTATGTATAGAATTATTACAGTGTCATACTTACAGATACGGATGGTTGTGGAAGAGGGATTAAATCATTTTCCGTACACTCCACAAACGGTTATTACCCCTATTGGTGAGTTCCTCAAACTGGTGGAAGCTTCTCTATATTTGTTTCTTTGAAGTACAATATACTTGAAAATAAATGTAGTTCTATATGCATGGGTATACAGGTTTGAAAATGGAAGTAGGCACCTAACTGAATTTTGGTGACTGTCATAGTAAGTGTGACGCTGGCTACATGGTTTATCGAATTTTCTTCTTTAGGCTTAAGGACATGAACTTCGAGCCGACAAATCATAAACTTACTGGCACAAGATCGCAATGTATATTACCATATGGATTTCTGGGACTTTCCAACCGTGAAGAAGGTTTACATAATTCTAGCTTTACGTTAAAGCGCTACTTGGTCATTTAGTTTGCAACCAAATAGCTTATGAAGTAGTGTGTTTCAGAAAGTCCTTAAAACGCTTTGGGTCATGCGCGTGGCCTAGCCAAAGTCATATGTGCGATACTTTTGCCTATTTGATAGGTTGAACTATATAATTGCTCGCTTGTCATTGTCAGGGGCACCCTACGAGGGTTTGCGCTTCGTCAAGGGAGGATGCGGAGTATCCATTGTCCGATCGGGTGAAGCGATGGAGAAGGGGCTGAGAGATTGTTGTCGAAGTATCCGGATTGGAAAGATTCTTATACAGAGTAACGAAGATACACACGAAGCTAAGGTTAGTCAGACCTAGCGCACTTGTTTAATTCAACGAGTGCTTCGATATCAAGGTTCTCGTTGTAATCTGCGTACGCCCAACATCCTCCGTGCCATTTGGAGTGTAAGCCAAGATAAGAAATCTTTCATTCAATCCGACAGACATGTTTTCAGAAAAGACGATTACGTGTCTGATTCTTTTATTTCGACAGGAAGCTTCGGTGCAAGTTTTAATAGTTTATATCAATTACGGAGGACAAGGGCATGAATATTTAGCTTGATTGACAGACACATCTGTTACTTCCTAAGATTCGCCAGAAATAAATAAGCTAAGGTACTAAATTCGGCGGCTAGTCCTGTAGTGGTTAATGAAAGCGAGTTGTCACTCAACCTTGAATACGCAGGTGGTCTATGCTAAGTTCCCAGAGGATATAGCCAGGAGGCGAGTCCTTTTAATGTATCCCATAATGTCGACGGGGAACACAATTATTAAAGCGACCAAGGTACTTCTTGAGCATGGAGTACAGCCTGATAACATAATTTTGCTCAATCTCTTCTGTACGCCCAAAGGTAATCAAGATTAACTATATAGGTATATCGTCATGTATTATGTAGCGTATCGGCAATTGACTTCAGATTCGTTTTCACAATGCAGTACTATAATAGTTGACACCTAAATGTCTTTAATAGTTGAATTCTGTTATTCATTCGATTACCTTTTTCTTGGCTCTTATCCACGATGGTTTTGGCGATAATATAAGTGTTTAACTTTAGTGGTTCTTCTGTATACCAAACACATGGTCTATTTATTCTTCTTTAGGCTCGATCTAGAATCAGTGTGATAGTGTAAGCCCTGCGATATTACCAATAAGAAATTATCAGCATATTTTAATTTGAAATGAAAATGATGACGTGGCGTTTTTCACAAATCATGGATCAAAGAGAATACCAAATCGTTAATTTCGATCAATCAGTCTCTATTGTGAGAACCGTATTATAGGCTCATTGTGTGTATGTCATTTTTAAGTCGTCGACAAACCATCTAGTTGATATGAAGCAAAGTTTACTATAGTAATAAATCCTTTCCGACTCAACAGTTACTTGACCGTTCCGTTAATTGACTTATTCTTTGTTCAAGTTTAATTTGTTCACTTGTCATTAAATTTTTATGTGATCGAAGTGCGCTATCTTTTTTTCTTCCTTTTTTGCAGCCGTTCGTTGCGTCACGAAAGCTTTCCCACAGCTGACCATACTCACGACTGAGATTCATCCTGTGGCACCCAATCACTTCGGACAAAAATATTTCGGTACTGATTAACAAGATCCTCTTCTCAACCATCTTATGATGCCGCTGTAACCACCAATGATTCATATACATATATATACGTGCTGCGCTTTTACTTGTTGAGATATTTTCACATACACACACACACAAAGATGATGAATTGATCGTTCGTCATCATTATTGCCAAACTTATTGCTAGTGACAAATTTTTGGTAACTTGCACCAATCACATCCATTTCGTCGTCATGCTGGCAAATGATGCAGTTCGTTTTGCCTATTCTATTTAGATTTTTCAACATTATATACGAGTATTTTGATTTTCCATTAGTGCTTCGAGTATTTTTTATGCTGGAATAAAAAGCAAATTGAATTATCCAAATTCGTTTATTTCCGACATCCGAGTCTATTGTTAACGACAATAACGGGCGTTACAAACTGCACAGTCATCATGATTACTCACATACAAATCACGTCGATGCACGTTACTATTTAAAAATACACACACGCACATTCAAATACGAATACATACGCAATCAGATACATATAAAATATACAAAACAACTAAAAAGTATAAAGTGTCATCATAGCAAATGGGCAAAAAGCTCGAATTAATTAAACGGCTGTCTTTAAAATGAAGACAGTTCTGCCACCGGCCACTTTTCTATGCAACCCCATAATATATGACGCAGAATAAATCATTAGACGACTATGTTTCTTCGATAGATTCCGTCAACTAAATTCTCCCTATTTAAGCACTAATTCATGCAAGTAAGCTTATAGAGGTTGCGAAGCTTCTATGCAAGCGGGAATTCGACTATTTTCAGGAATCGTTGAGCTTTCAGAAGTGCGGCTCGTTGAGGTGCTAAACGAAACAAAGTACGCATAGCGATTAGGCGTCAAGTATGAAACGTGACAGAAATTCATCTCATATTACCAATTTGACGTTATTTTATAACGGTTCGAGATAATTTCACGATACTTCTTATAGTTGAGCTTTTAACTTGTAGTCAGTCATAGAAAGTCAGATCTCCATCCTGAAACTACAGCGGCGGAGATAGTTCTCCGTATAAACATTGTATAAAGTATTGTTCTATAAAGCTTCTACTCCTAGAGACACCATGAACCGTTCATACGAAGAATTCCGAGAAGGAATTCCGAGTTCGGAAATGACTATAGTAAAAGACCACTGAGAAGATGATTAACGGTGTGAAGAGTTGAAAGCTGTGGCGAAAGCCAATCCATGTTGAGGTGCACAGGTGTTAGCACCCACGTTTGACGTATGCAAAAATTATCTACTTGTTCACTTGGGCCAAACAAAGGGAGGATTAAAGACAGACACATAAGCACATACTTCTCTTTGCTCGCACGTTGAAACAGCAGTCTGTTGCTATACCGAATTGTGGGAAGTGAATCCTTTACATTAATCGTCACATCAGTAAATGGATGCAGCTAAACCGGCAGGACATCATCCTAAAGCAAATGCACAGCTATAGAAATTTATGGTGTCTGTTTAATAGGCTAATGCAGGTGTTATTCACCTTAGCTTCATGGGTCCTGGTTCATCAATTATGGCTGAAGTGTATTGTCAACAGCTAGAGAAAATGATGGTAAAAAGAATTCCGTATTGAGCAAATAGAGGTAAACCATTGCTATTTCATGGGAATACTCACTGTGGAAAGAATATAAGAATTATAGTAGGGGGCCTTTCAGCACTCACCATACTCGCTAGTTTATTGCTCATGACTTTTTTTTCTCTAAAATAACGCCAATTTACTGTTAGAAAAACGACTTAAACCTATCGTGATGTTAGGATTGCCTTTCTAGACTTAAAACTTCCTCTCGCCAGACACCCATGGAGTGGCCGAAAGTTATAGCATATTTCTATAAAACAAGTAAACTTGCAGAAAACTTCGCATTATGTCGAGTTTCAGAATAAACGACCTGATAATACAATACTAAAAAGGTATTCTAAGAAGTATCCGTTTATTGGTATTTTTAGTACTATTGGTGCTGCGGATTTACTCTCTGTTTTATATAATATTTTATCAGCCTCCCAACATGTAAAGAAAAAGATAATATTGTGACAAAGATATTGGTCGTAGAAAAACTACACAGCAGCGTCATATACTGGGTTCATGGAGGATTGATTGTTCTGGTCATTTCCTCTGTTGTTCTATAAAAGTCGAACTATTGAGCAGCATGAAGTGTATTCATATGACAGGCGAGCAGAGGTTGCCAGGCACCACAATTTCATTTGTTCTAGACGGCGCTGTTCTCGCTACGATTCCGTCCCTTATGCGTTTATGCCTCGAGCAAACAGGATGAGCAGACGGAAGAGTAAAAGTATAAGGAACCATATTTTACTGGAGAGATACCAAAAGATACTTTTGTGTTTGCTTATTGAAAAAAAATTACTATGTTACGGATTCGAGCTAGTTACGTTTGAAGATTAGTTTGTTCTGAGGGTGCGTCTTTGTGCAGTGTTGAACGCGAACAACAAACAGACATTTGAAAAATGTTTTTCAAGTATCTAATCACACAAGAAGATTTTATGTTTATCTGTGGATGTACATACTGCCAAGTGTTGGCAATATATATATATATATATATAATGAAATGGACCTAAGACGTTGAAAATAAAATATATACAGAATACGGCACCTAAATTAACACTTTGGCGAACTATTTGGCGTAAAAGTCATGCGTTGATCCGCCATTATTAGTATTACAGGAAAGCCTGTTTTTTTTTTGTAAAACCAAAATATAATTAGACCATACTTAAAAAC